TACTATGACGACGACGACTACTACTACTGCTACTGCTACTGCTACTGCTACTGCTACTACTACTACTACTACTATCGCCACAACGCCGCCTTCCAAGGAATCGCTGCTGTCAGGTCTTGGGCCAGTTGCTCTGCTGCAGACTGCAAAGGGTCACATCCGTTGCGCAAGCTAACTGAGCCAGCCGTGTTGTTTTAAGGCGCGTATGACTTTTTGTGGGGCTTATTGACCCACCCCGACATCAGATATGTCCTGTTATCCTACAATAACTCGGCCTCCCGCGGAGAATGTTGCCTCAACCCTAACGCCAACAGTCTCAAGTTGAAACCTACCATGTTTTTGATGCCTCAAACACATGATTTCCCAAACAAAGCCGCAAAGTCTTTAGTGCCGACCAGCTTATACCCAAACCTTCTGAGTTTTCCCCTGCCTGCCTTCATAAGAAGTACCCACATGCTCCCGTTACAGGCGGTTACCTGAGTGCAAAACTCTACGCCTGAAATTGTTCCCCTCCTTCATTCAGGATGAGGGACGATCTTGGCCCGCATTTCAGAGGAGAACTAGAATAGAACTCCCCTGCCGAAACCGTCAATTGCCCAGTGAAAGATATTGTAATTCAGCCAAAAAGCTTTGAAGATTGTATAACACCTCGAGAAGCCTTTGCATTACAGACTTGGATGAGGCACGGGACCTGCAAATTGTAGGACAAGATCATCGAATTCCTCTTAAAGTTTACAAAGGTTGCAGAACAGTGATGGAACATTTCAAGGTCCGCTTTCAAATGAAGCAGGTCTTTGTCAAACGCAGTGTCTTCTGATTCAAGAGTGATCTGTCAGGAGCCCCTGCAAGACATGAACTTCCATAGATACTACATTCTGAAGCCTCAGCCCCTAAGACAGGATTCATGATTGGAGAAGCCTCCGCACCATGCACATGCAGGGCTCGGCCTCCCAGCAGAGTCTGGATCGCCTGCGACTGGCCGCGCTACATTCTCTTGCGCAGCTGAGCTCAGAATTGTGGTCATCGTCATCACCAGGGTTGCGGGTACGATCGTCATCATTATCTAATGCGCAGACCAGATTGCCATATAATGTTGCCATGATGATGACTTTCGGCTTTGCTACTTAGCTTTAGCGTGACAACCCTTGTTGTCATTGCTAGGTCAGCCCAGTTTACGGTAATGGTACCTATCTCTCGTTGACAAAGAATTCGCTACACTTACATTGGTCATGGTTTCGACTCCCCACAAGAAGCGCGCCTAACACTGTGCTCGCTGTGAAGTTCGAGTTGTTTGGGGGCGCCCGGGGAAACAGGTGACAATGTTTGTTTAGGTACAGCACTTAGCCACAGTTACGCAGCGAGTCAGAGTAATTTTGGTTAGACCTCTCAGCGTATTAGTTAGCCGCAGTGGTATGGTGTTGCAGCATGGAGCCCACGGCCCGAAAAACGAAGAACACAACTCACCAGATGGCAGGGAGCTGGAGTTGTCATCGGTGAGGTTTTAGGGTAACTTAGGGTTTAGGGTCCAGGGGTTTAGGGATGAAACTCATTGAATGGTTGCATCTTCATTCAGTTGTTCAGGTCCTCGAACCACAGGTGCTCACGTGTAGAAGCCCGGATCATGACTGGGAACACCTGCTACGGTCCCGAAGTCACAAACCATAGTGTACTGAACTGTATCTCAGAATTGCTGGAAGCTTTGAGTTTCAGTCCTGAATCCATGAACCCTAAGCCGGAAGCCCTACACCCCTGGACCTCAAACCCCTAAATCCACAAAACCTGAACCCGTTAACCTCAAACCCATCAACCCCATGCGCACGGACCCCCCCTCATGCGCCCCGACAGTTTTCAGTTGAAGTCAATTCCATGCACCTAAACCAAACTCTGAACCCTAAACTCATTTGGGCTTTCCCAAGAGTTGGGGTCCCTTTCTGGTTGTCCCCGCCCATTTATGGAATTTTTTTTTTTACCCTAAAACGTGCAACTGCCACTCCCCTCCTTTTTTTGCTGTACGGTACCGAGGCTTGGGCTTCTGGTTTGGTTCGAGGCCTTTCATCTTGGGTACGGGGGAACATAGGAGAGGGTCCATGGTTTGGACTTGTAGGGTTGAGGGCTTGGGTGAGAGTTTGGGGTTCAGGGGTATTGGGTCTGGGGTTTTTGGGTCAGTTTAGTGGCTTAGGGCTTTGTAGCTCTAGGGGAGCAGGTGGTTTCGGGAAGTTCTATTGGTTCCTGGAGCTTCCTGCTTTACATGTCCACCCTAAACTGCATTCGTGTAAAGTTGACCACAAGGAAGCGGACCAAGCATGTTAACAAACTCCCACATCTTGCAGCTGGAGACTCTGCGCTCATCAGTCGACACGGAAGCCCTGATGACATTGGGTCGGTTCACACGAACGAGGTCCGCCTATCAGGCCGCCTCAACAAGAAGGATCTTCATTGTCGGGCCCCCCTGTGTGACACAACGGGAGTGCACGTGCTCTTTCTTTTTTTAGGATGAGGCAATTCATCAAGCCACATTTACGACTTGAAGGGCGTAAGTCGAGACGTTACCCTGCAGCCTCGTCTCTAGGCATCAACGCATGAACTTCAAGTCTACATTGGCTCTTACACTGCATCATGAGAAGCGCCAAGCCTTAGATCAACGTCCAAGACAAGCAGGCTTTCCGTCATCCCGAGCTTCGGGCAGCGGCTTGCGAGGGCCACGAGGCAAGAAGGAGCAGGGATGATTTCTACTTGGAGCGGGTACAAGACAACCCTGCTTGGCAGAAGTCTCAAGCACAGCCAGATGGTACCAGAGCAGGTCTGACATATGAGCCATAGTCTAAAACTCCTTATAGGGGGGTTATATAGGGGATTATATAGGGGACTACTATAGGGTTATTAAGGGGGATACTTCTTCTTCTTCATGAATCGCTAGTCCATTGCGGTGCGTATTAAATTCCATGCAATTAAAAACACATTAAAAACAGATTGCGCAGGCAGCAGCCTCCTGAAGGCCTTCTGGATAGACAGCCCACATCGAACCCTTAGTAAGAACCCTATGACCCCGAAGAATTCCATGGCCTTCGTAGAGAACTCTGCACAACTGGCCAAAGCCATCGTTGATGTGCATGAATAGCCCTGCTCTCTCACGCCAATGGTCATCATTGAGGAGTCTGCGAATGACATTACTAAGGGTTCTGGGGCAATCGTTGGAAGGTGGTTCGCGCATGTAAACCTCCCAAGCGTGTCGCCAGTGATCCAATCCAGAATCTCCCTGATTGCTAAAGGTTGTTTGCTGAACTCTGGCTGGATTCAACGTGGCCCAGAATGGCCGAGGACCTG